CTAAGCTTCACCTACAAAGCTTCAACTCCAAAGCTTCACCTACAAAATCTTCAACACAAAAACTTCACCTACAAAAGCTTCAACTCCAAAGTTTCACCTACAAAGCTTCACCTACAAAAACTTCAACACAAAAGCTTCACCTACAAAAGCTTCAACACAAAGCTTCACCTACAAAGCTTCAACTCCAAAGCTTCAACTCCAAAGCTTCAACTCCAAAGCTTCACTCACAAAAGCTTCACCTACAAAAGCAACAAAATCTTCACCTACAAAAGCTTCACCAACAAAAGCTTCACCCACAAAAGCTTCACCTACAAAGCTTCAACACAAAAGCTTCATCTACAAAAGGTTCACACTATCTTGATTAAGATAGTGTGAAGCAAAATCAATTCATGGTACCCAACAAAGCTTCAACCTCAAAGCTTCACCTACAAAGCTTCAACACCAAAGCTTCACCCACAAAGCTTAATATATATATATATATATATATATATATATTTTTTTTTTTTTTCAAAAATTCAAAAATTCAAAAATTCAAAAATTCAAAAATTCGAAAATTCGAAAAAAAAAAATTGCCTAGGCCTCCTCTTCTTTGGACCTAACAACTTTCATAATAAATATATATATATATGAAGGAGGAGTTTTGGGCTACCACTTAAAAAGGAAATGCCTCATTTGTCAACTCCCTCGATCGGAGACTTGGGGGACTCTACCAATGCTACTGCACCTTGATACTCGGAAGTTTCATGACCACTCAGTGACTTGGATTTTCAAGTTTCCAACCGATAAGTTTTCCTCACTCGGGAAATTAAGGGAGCACTACCTTAACATACATGCTTCACTCACAAAACTTCAACATACAAGCTTCAACAAAAGAAAAAATTCAAAGAACTTAGTGAAGAATTCCTTGGTGTATTTAACACAATACGTTGAAATGAAGCAAAGCTTGTTTATTGATATCTCCGATAAGTTACAAATATCATATACATGAATCAAAATAAACAAACAAGAGGGAGTCTTCACAAAGGTTGCTTAGGAGAAGTCTCAGCAGTCAGCAAAGCCCCAGAAAGAGGAGGCACTGAAGGGTGATTATTTGGAGCCTCAGTACTAAGCAGAACCCCAGAAGGAGGAGGCACCGAAGGTTGACCATTTGAAGCTTCATTACACGGTACAGCCCCAGAAGACGAATGCAATAAATGCCTTTGGAACAACCCACAAACCTTTGATGATCAAGTAAAATCTGACCATAAGATTCCTACAGCTGGTCGAGCTTCATTTTCATGTTTGTAGCATAGTCATGTGCGAACCTGTGCAACTGTTTATTCTCATACTTGATCCCTCTGATCTCCTGTTTAAGACTTACCACTTCAGCTGCCAATGATTCAACTTGAAGGGTTTGAGCAAATAGGCGTTAGGCCATATTAGACATACAACCTGCACACTGAACACTGAGAGCCAGATAATCCTTAATAGCCAACTCATCAGACCGTTTGGAAAGTAGTATGTTATCTTTGGGAGTGAGAAGGTTCCTGGCCACCACCGCAACAATCATATCATTCTTCATCACAGAGTCCCTAACGGTAAGAAGACCAGTAGGGGATAAGAAGGATGTGCGTCATATGTTGTCTTGAGAAGGCATAGCTGCCTCTTCACCCAAGTTCAAGTCAAAACGACGGTCGTATGGGCTTGACATTCTCAGAAATGATGAAGGAGAAATGAGGTGCAATAAATCTCTGAAGTACAAAAATAAGGGGAAAATTCATGAAAGCAATAACTTTCTGAACGTACTTCTTGCACACAATTGATGCCTCTATAAAAGAAAGGGCAACAGGGCCGTTGGTTCAAAAATCGAAGAGGCACCACTCTCCGAATTTTGAGAAGCAGATTTTCCTGAGTAAAATATGTCGACAATCCTTACACGCAACATCAGCTCCTCGGGTACCACATATAACTTTGCCAAAGATCTCTGACAAAGTTTAGACAAATAAATTTTGAAGGTCCAACTACCCTACTATTACCCACAAGGGTAAAGGAATAGCACCACTGCTTGATAACTGGAAAGTCACTATGTGTGTCAAACTCCGTGCTCCGTTGTCCGTGGCAAGGCAGACAGGCAAAAATGCCCAATCTTTACTCACATTCGAGAAAACACTCCCAACAAGATTGCTTGCTCAAATATCGAAGAGGCACCACTCTCCGAATCTCGAGAGCCAGACTCCCAACAGGATTACTTGCTAAAAAATCGAAGAAACACTGCCCTCTGAATCTCAAGAACCAGACTCCCAACATGATTACTTGCTCAAAAATCAAAGAGGCATCGCTCTCCGAATCTCGAGAGCCAGACTCCCAACAGGATTACTTGCTCAAAAATCGAAGAGACACCGTTCTCCGAATCTCGAGAGCCAGACTCCTAACATGATTACTTTCTCAAAAATCGAAGAGGCACTGTTCTCCGAATTAAGAAAGCCAGATCTCCAACAGGATTGCTTGTTCGAAAACCAAAGAGGCACCACTCTCTGAACTTCGAGAGCCAGATTTCCTTGGATAAAGCTTGTTTGCAATCTTCACACACAACATTAGCTTTCCAGATACCACAGACCGTTTTTTCAAAGTGCTCTGACAAAGTTAAAACACGTGAATCTTGCATCTTCCACTACATTGCTATGACTAAGAAGGGTAAAGGAAAAGCGTTACCATTCGTTTTTGGGACAATTCCTATATATGTCGACCTTCATCATCCACAGCCAGGCAGACCTGCAAATAAATAAAAAAATGCTCAACTTTTCTTCACATCCGAGATGGCACTTTCAGCAAAGTCTCTAGAAATACTCAGCTTCTTCCCCCTGATAATACCTCTGCAAACAAGCCACACCAGAGTAAGAGTATCTCATATCATCAGGGTTAAAAGCAAGAGTATCCCATATCATGTTTCTTCCCTGTCTTTTCCTTTGACCTTGTTCTTACCTGCAAGATAAAGAGAAAAAGAGCAATCAGTCAGCACTTGGAATCAAGCTTTCAGTCAAGAACTGACTGCCTGGAACCCCTTGCCTGATTACTTACATGACATTGCTCTTGAGTACTTATCTTCAACATCTTATGCTTCCATAGAAGACACCACATCTGCCTGAGGAACATATAGGGCAAGTGAAAAGGATACAATGAAGCATATGGAGACAAGCGCAACATAACACGTGCCGATTCATCTATTACTTTTTCAACAGCAAAAGTATTCCATATCATCAAGGTCGAACGCACTCTTGATTTGATGGACGTGTTTTGACCCTCAAATTCTTGAGTCGGCCTTATACTTTAGGGGAAACCAGAAAACCCTCCAGCCCAGTTTAAGAATAAGCCTGTGGAAAGTTACTTCTTCAAAAGCAAAAGTATCTCATATCATCTCTTCTCTTTTTTCTTCTCTTTATCCTTCCTGCTGCCTGCAAGATAGGGAGAATGAGAACAATTAGCTGGAACTAGAAATCAAACTTCTGATCTAGGACTGATTGCTGGGAGCTCTGATTGCTTACCTTGTCTGTCACCTTTTCGGTAGATCTCCTAGCTTGGCAACTTGGGAGACTCCTACTACATGGTTTGTATCACACTTGACCAAGCCTGAAACTTCAAGTAAGCTTCAAGTGAAATTGATACATTACCTTGTGCATCTCCACCGATTAAGATACCACTCCTGGATAAAGGAAAAGTACTTCCAGAGAAGATGCCACATCTACCTATGAGACAGATAAGGCAAGTAAAGACGATACCATACTTCGGTACTTAGAAGTTTCGTGATTACTTAGTGGCTTGGATCTTGCAAGTCCCCAACCGATGAGCTTTCCTCATTCGGGAACTTAGGAGAGCACTGTTTGTACCATACTTGACCAATCCCGAAACTACTGAGCACCGGTCAACGTTATACCGTCAAGGACCCAGAAGAGTTTCCCTCCAACCAGGAGGCCAATCACAGTGCGACACGTGTCGATATCAGAAGCCAATCACAGTGCGACACGTGTCAACATCAGTAGCCAATCACAACACAACACGTGTCAATGTCAGAACAAAGCTAGAAACTTTCTTCTATAAAAGGAGATCATTCTCCCACAATATTTCCTAATGTCATTTGTACTAAATCATTCACTAGTACTCACAAAAGAAGAGCTTGAACCCATGTACTTGTGTAAACCCTTCATAATTAATGAGAACTCCTCTACTCCGTGAACGTAGCCAATCTGGGTGAACCACGTACATTTTGTATTTGCTTCCCTGTCTCTATCCATTTACATACTTATCCACACTAGTGACCGGAGCAATCTAGCGAAGGTCACAAACTTAACAATTTCTGTTGTACCAAAGTCCTCAGTGATTTTGTGCATTAACAAGACTCATATATAATAATGCTTTTTTTAGCTAAAATGATTTGATTATTGAGATTTGAATCAATATCATTTTGGTCATTTTAAGAAAATTTTCCATTTAAAAAGACTAAAATGACAAAAATATATTCAATTTTTATCAAATCATTTGACCAATTGTTTATTAAATTGAGGGTAATTTTGTTATTTTAATTCTTATTTAATATAATTTTGTATAGGATGACCAAAATGAGATAGTTGACAAACTCAGAGACTACTTTTATTTATTTCAAATCACATAGATAAAAATAGTAATGCTATTCATATCATGATTTTATACCACATTTCTATACCACCTTAGGTGGCATCTGATGTGGACAGCCACATTATTTGAAAAATTTACAAAACCCAAGAAAATGAAGGAGAAAGACTTCTCATATACCACAATCATCATTTAATTAACTAGGTTTTTTTAATTATTAGTTTATTAAATAATGAACTAAATTTAAAATTTTGATTAATTCAAATGATGTGACTGTTTACATCAAATGCCATCTAAAATGGTATAAAAATATAATACAAAAATATGGTATGGATATCATTACTCATATTAAAATGATGGGTTATGCAAAAAATTTAGGCTGAAAAGCTTATAATGGACTGAATACTTCCCCGTCTCATCTTTTCCTAAACGCACCTGAATATACTTCCTCGTCTGATCTCCATCCGAGTCAACGCCGAAGGGAAATTGCGACTGAAATGCTGGGCCGTCGATTATTGACTTCAGACAGGCCTTTTTGCCTTTCTCTCTCATCCTTTTTCCCTCTCTATCTAATTTTAAAAAGCTACAACTTTTGGCTTCTGGGTATTCAAGGGAAGAAGAAGAACAAGAACAAAGAGGAGGAGGAAGAAATAGGTAGAATTACAACATAGGATTATCAATTTAACTTCTTTAACTTCTTTCTAAATTCAATGATTGTTGAGTTGTATTGGGTTTTCTTCTAATTTTTCTATCTGGGTTTTATCCCTGATTATCATTTCTGGTATTGGATAGCTGCTGGACTTGCTTCTTCATCATCTTCTTCCTTTTGTCTCCAAGCTGTTTCAACGTCGGCGAGGTATCAGGGAGGAAGAACAGCGAGATTTAGGTAGGCGGAGACTCATGGCAGCGGCCATGGTCTGCGTTCAGTGGCTTGCTGGTCGACGTCGCCGACGAGTTTTTTCACGGTTAAGAGCAAAAGAGGAAGTTTTTAGTCTTAGTAGATTAGTAATTTCATATCAACTTTTGTTTATAATTATCATAAACTTAGAAAAGTGGCTATAATTCTATATGGGTTTCAAATTTTAGTTATTTTTTCCAAATTGTCCATCACAAAGCTTCAATATTTGTCTTCAAAAAGATAAAAAAAACCCATTTCCCCAAAACCCCCCTCCCATTCCCCACCAAAATCCCATTTTTGCTGGTAATGCCATTTGGGTTTCAATGGCTCAAGAATCTGGGTCGTCTGAGTCCCCTAAATGGAGACTCGATCTAGATTTTCCTTCGAAGACTCCTGTGTTCGGCTGCAGATTCCAGCCCTACATTCGCATGCAAATAATCGACAACTCCTTTGAATTCCCGTGTCACGAGTATTCTTTCACATGGTTAGCCTCTCTCTCTCTTAATCTTTCTGGGTTTTAATTTCTTGATGAATGTATGAATATATTCTTGTTTCTTTATGTGGGTTTTAGTCACAATGCATGGCTTGTAAATGGGTTTTTATTAAACCTATGGTTGCTAAAGAAACAGAGGAAAAGATTACTCTTTTTTTGTGCAAGAAATTTTGGTGAAATTTAGTCCCAATACGGACACATAGGATTTTTTGTCCTAATTTGGATAGTTGGATTTTGGTTTCTTGAACCAAAGTCAAGTTTTATACATCAAAAATTTGTTTTGTTCTTGTGAAATGGGTAATCCTATTCAATGTTATTTTTCTTCTGTGTCTGTGCAACAACAATAATACTAATGAATAACTATTAACTATAGGAATATTTTCGATTGAACTAAATAAAATGTTACTGCTATAATTAGAAGACATTTTAGCAAAATGGTCATGAGATTGACATAACTCCTCACTTTGGTCCATAAGATTAAAATTGATAAAAGTGGTCCCTGAAATTGTCTAGCGTAATCATTTTGCACTCCTCACAAGTGTATTTTTTGTTTTAAATACTGAAAGTTTGGAGTGCCCTAAACTGTAAAAATAACAACTATAGTGAGAACAAGAAGACAATACAAAATAACAAGAATAATAACTATATGAAGTAAAAGATGGTTTATTAAGAATTATAGAAAAACCATTAAGTAACAACAACTTAGTAATAACAGTAATTTGTTGTACCCAAAATAATTTCACATGCAAATGAAGTAGAAGACGGTTTATTTTGAAAAAAATATAAAACAAGAAATATGGAGTTTTCGTGCATCCAACGTGTTTAAATTTTTGTATGTTGAATCATAAAACTTGTTATGGTGGGTTCCTGTTCAATACTAGTCCCAATATTTGGTAGTACTTCTGTTACCATGAGTAGTCTTAGTAAGATCTCTCATTATTATGTATGTAGGTACCAAGAGGATGTTTGCTTGTCTTCCAATCAAGAGAAGATTCGCTGTTTTGTCCACCATGATGAGATGGCCACAATTCAGTGTACAGTTTGTGCAAGTCAAAGTCGACTTGGCAAGATAAGTTATTATTGCTCCATAAGTTGTTATAAGGCTGCCTGGGACAAGCACAAGGTGCACCATCATTTGGCAGCTCCCAATCCTGATCCACAAGCAGTGAACATTATCAAGAGTTTTGGGCCTTATGGCTCTTATCCTGATTTACCTTACTATCAGTATGATGGTTCACAACCTGATGTGACGGTGGAAGAAGATGGGAAAACTTGGATTCAGGTGGGATCTTCAGAATATTATGTACCCACAGAAAATGATATTGGATTTTGTCTGAGGCTAAAATTTGAAGTTATTGATTCTTCAACGCGCACACAATTGTGCCCAGCAAGAATCAAAGTGACAGATCCTGTGATTTATCCTCTTCCTCATCCACCGCGTTGTACAATGTGGAACTCTTGCAGCGGTGACCTCAAAGAACAATGTTCTAATGATGTAACCTTTAGGGTGCTGTCCTATAATATCCTCGCTGATTATCTTGCTACTAGTGGTAGTAACCGGCACTCCTACTGCCTAGATTGGGCTCTTTCATGGGAATATCGTCAGCAAAATTTACTTTATGAGATCATTGCATATGATGCAGATATCCTATGTCTTCAAGAGGTAACTACTCAGTTCTTAAACGCATATGTTATTATGAGATCATTGCCCAAGACTGTTTTAGTTTTTATATCTACGGGCAGGTACAGAATGATCATTTTGAGAATTTCCTCAGACCTGAGTTGGCAAAATATGGATACTCGGCTATATACAAGAAGAAAAAGATCGAGGTAAGGTGATATGGCCTGTTTAATAGAATTACATGCACTTCCAGGATTTACTTTTCAGCTTAGAATAGTATCCCTTTGCCTAACGTATGCACCCTTGCATCCACAGATAGAATCACAGAGAAGAATGGGTTAAGATGGTTCTGTGGAATGTAGCTTAGCTTGTTTTTTCCGAGTTGTTACTTTATTTTACTTATTATTTATCAGTAGAAAAACCTGAAAATTGTTGCCTTGTAGTATTCATTGTTGGCCACCCCTCAACAACTTAAGCTCTTGGAGTTCAATGCTTGTCTAACACGCTATGAGCCTGCGGTTTGAAACCTCCAATTCTTACTGTTTAGAGGAATTGCAAGGTGTATGGAACTCCATGTTACTAGGTTGAAAGTCAAAATTTTAGGGCAACTGTGATAAAATTTTGAGCTTGACCTGTTTTGTTTATAGATAGAATTGGTCTTCACTTTCTGTTCCCCAACATTAGCCTCACTTGTAATAAAGCATTACTATACAGTGTGAAATGCTCAATTGGAATAATTAACGTTTAAAATTATATGAATTGTTGGATAAATATTGGTTTGCTTGCTTAGCACTATGATTGTATTCATCAGCATTTGGTAAGTAGGTTGAGTTTCATACAGAATCCCGCATGAACAATGTCCTGCAACAAGGCGGGACTTGTAAAAAATCCGGTAAAAGGCCCTATAGTCCTCTCATTGCCCTAGTTAATTGTGTCCACGATACTTTGACACATTAGTATATTCACCTTCCTGTGGTCCTTTTCGTCAAAGACTTGGACCAAACATCCTTGAGATTGTTCAATATAAGTTTTTAGGTAACAGGGTGTCAGTTCTACGTAACTTGCTGATACTCTAAATACAATTTTTAAAACATTCAATTAATTCATCCACGTAATATTGATTTTTGCATTGCTTTGTGTTACAAATAATGAAAATAATATTTTTGACGATTTAAGTTTTGTGCATTTGAATTCTTAATCATATTAATTACCTCCCTGCCCAAATATTCTGTGCATTCTGCAATTTGTTTTCAACAGAATATGATATATAAATTCTTCTATAAAAGTTGGGAGCATATTTTGCTTTATGTGGTCTAAAGGCAATCACTTAACAGAAAATTGATGGCATTATATCATGGTAATATGAGTTTAATGGATGTCCTTCAGATGTTTACATGTAAGTCCCAGCAGACAACTGATGGATGCGCTACGTTTTACCGCAGTCAACGATTCAAAGAAATCGCAACATATGAGGTGAGGAAGCTCTTGCTTGTACTTACCACTAAAATGTAGAAAAAGGTGAGGAAATCTATCTATGTGAATATACATATGCTTCCAGTATTTAATGGTTCTGGTTTTCTTTTGCAGCTTGAGTTTAATAATTCAGCAAAGCCCTTTGTAGATTCATTGGATGGTAAACAGAAAAGTGAAGCTTACCGGCTGCTGAAGGTTTACATCTCAGCTCCCATATTGGTTTTACTGTGCATTCTGTTCTAGTGGGGCTCTTGTTTCGCTTCACATCTGTTTGTTATATCAGCTTCTTGTATGCAATTTTTCAGGGCAATGTTGCACTTCTTGTTATATTAGAAATGGTGGAAAATGAGGGCTCCTCTGATGGCAATCGACCTAGAATTTGTGTGGTACTAATGTCTATTTCAATTTTTACGGTCTTTTATCCTAAATTCTTGAGTGCTGACTGCTGCTGTTGTCCCTTTCACCTACAGTCAAATACCCATTTACATGCAAATGGAAAAGATCCAGACATAAAATTGTTGCAGGTGCAGTGTGTAAAATGGAACATTTCCTTCTATTAGTTTTGAGTTTAAAGAGCAGAATTGGCTTAATTTGCTTCTTTCTGATACAAGGTTGTAACCCTCATCCATGCACTCGAGAAAATTGCCCAGTTGAAGATTCCCCTACTGATTTGTGCAGATTTGAACTCTCTGCCTCAGAGGTTCGCCTTCTACTGTTACTGATTGGCTTCTTTTCCATTTACGACTTTGTGTACTCCCTTATTGATTTTGGTATTGTTCCTAACAAACCAACCCTCCTCTTTCCAATATATTTTTCTTCTATATTTTGGCGAATATTTATTTCTATTTGGCATCCAACATTGTAGTGATCCTTATACGTTCATAAGCAAGGGCAGAGTTGAGATTCTTCCCAGCAAGGAAACTGATCAATCGGGCATATTGCAGACACTCAAGCTTTCTCATTCATTGAATCTAGTAAGGCCAATGTATCCCAACTGACCGATTCTCTGCTCCTTTTTTAATTCTTAGCTCCTACTGAACATTTTGCATTGCTACTTAGTTGCTTACTTCTTGCAAGAATTTGAATTCGGGAGAGCTTATTGTTTGTCATCATTTTCAATTGCTGAAAAGTGTTTTTTTTTTTTTTTACCTTTCCAGGTAAGTGCATATGCAACTTTTTTTCATTCCGATGGGGTCGAGGATCACCAACGTGAGAAGCTGGATCCTGAAACCAAGGAGGCTTTGTTCACCTACTTCACACCATCCTTCTTTGGAACTATAGATTATATATTCTACACAGGTACCATTAATGGCTTTGCTGTTTAGGCTTTCCTTGGAATATAATTACCAGCTGGGTCCAATTTTGAATTTTGTTTATTCATCAGTTTCGTTGACTGTATGTATAATGCTTTCCTGCAGCTGCTAGTTTGAGGCTTGACAGTGTATTGGAGCTTCTTGACAAAGAAGGCCTCCTTCCATCCGCTAAATGGTCATCAGACCATATTGCCCTCATGGCAAGTTTTTCTCTTGAGGCAAGCGCTTACAATTGGAGCTCAGAATCTCTTACGGAGAGCCTAGGGCAGCACCCAACATTTGCACAATAATAAGCTTTTACAGAATGTGATAGGGTTTTTCCACCTGCGCAAATATGGTTGCAATCGCACAAAAATACTTGCAAGAGTACAAGGTAATTGTAGTATAAACGCTCAAGCAAGGTTTTCTTCCACAGAAATTTTGTAATTTCCTAATCCTTAATTAAGTATTTAAAACAGATTTTTAGAAAAAGTGAGATTGTGAAATTTAAAAGATAACAATAAGAAAAAACAATGGTTTTATTTATTGACGCCTCATATTTTGTTGATTACACCCCACAAAATTTAATATTAAATAACTCATATATCTTGATATAAAATGACTATTTAAGCCCTAAATGGTACACTCCCTAAGTTCTTTAACAGCAAAACCTAATAATAATTCAAGAACACGTTGAGATTTTTCTTGTTTTCGAGTAGCAGTCTAAGAGTTCAAATTTGAAAACATTTCTGCAAATTCTGATATCACTTTTTTAAAAGATGATTTTCATAAGCTGGGGGTGTAATCGTGATCGCAATCGCAAATGCTGCAAGGAACCCGTGAGATTTTTCGTAAGGGAAATATATTGACGTTGATACATGCATAATCATTAATTATGAATCAGAGACTGATTCTATTAGGTAGTTAAGAATGTCTGGAAGAGAGTTTCATTTCTCATTTTTTCGGTTGAAAGGAGATGTCACATCTCGGTCCGGGGTCCACCACATCCCAGGCCTACTTCAGCACTGTAGCACGATATTGTCCGTTTTGGGCCCCGACTACGCCCTCACGGTCTTTCTGGGAATTCACATGAGAACTTCCCAGTGGATCACCCATTATAGGATTGCTCTTGCGCGTTACTCGCTTAACTTCGGAGTTTCGATGGAACCCGAAGCCAATGAGCTCCCAAAGTGCCTCATGTTAGGTAGGAATGGTATTATACATATAAGGATCACTCTCCTTGGTGATGTGGGATCTTACAGGAGAGACTTCAAGGAGAGAAAAGCTAGCTGAAGCTTGAAATCCCATAGCAAAATAGGATAAAAATGTAAGAGGTTAAGTCAGAGACTAGAGCAAGAACCAAACAAAAATAGCTAAATTATACAGATATCATCGGTACGCTAGAAGCTAGGCGCATTTTATTTCCTGGAATTCGACAAACAGAAACACTTTTTTCTAACACTAGATAAATCTCCCAGCAAGGTAGCAACCACCTTTATTATTTCCTTATGAGGTGTAAGGGTAGCATAGGAAATTACGTGGGGTGAATTAAAATAATTTTTAATTTAAAAAGTAAATGTGGGGTGTTAATAAAACAACCCATAAACAATTTAAAACTAAAAAGACAATTTGGCAAAAACAGAAAATACTAAAACACATTTTAACAAAATCACTTGTGAAAAAGACTAGGGTTTAGCCGTAACCATTAACAATGCCTTGCAATTCTACGCAATTCAACCAATTACTCTTGAATTTCCATAATACATGCTTTGAAGGTTAGGTTTTCCTAATACATATTTTCCTCATGATGTTCAAGCAAAAACTTATATATAACATGCAATCCTTATGTGATGTTCATATCAAATATAAACATGCAAAACTCATTAAATTGGGTGAAAAATCATGCAACCCTTAAGAGTGTGATGTTCACCTTACATGATGAAATTATAATTATTAACCACAAGAAGCCCACCTTAATCTAGGTGATGTTCCAATCGAAATTGCATCAAATTACTTGTCTAATTACCTTAATGGTGGTCAATCACTAAAATAATTAGATAGTTTAAGTATAATAGATTAATAATTCAAAGCAAGCATGCATAAATTCATAAGCAATTTGATATGAATCACATATTTATGCCAAGGCTCATGACCTTGTCCTAGCAAATTGAATTAATTACGCATATTCACAATAAAAACCATAGGATATATTATTAGAATTAAGTAAAAGAAAAACACCCTTGTAGTTTGAAGTTTGCAAAACGTCAGAGTTTCACCGAGTTCTCTCAATGTTGCGTAAAAAACCCTAATGACCGACTAGCTGCTTACAAACAGCCCCTTATTCATAATCCTACCTAAATAAGGTCTTCTAGAGAATTAGGAAACAAAATAACCAAATGATATCTCAAGACATCTCAAAAGTTGACGTCACCAAAGGAGTTCACATATTCCTTGTGCCATGCCTCTATAATCAGCTTTAGCAGAAGACCTTGACACCACTTTTTGCTTCTTACTACGCCACGTAACCAAATTATCTCCAACAACCGTAAAATACCCAGATGTAGAATGTCTGTTAGTAACATTGCCAACCCAATCTGCATCTATAAACCTCTCAACCTTTAGATGTCCATATTTTCCATAAAGTATTCCCTTACCGGATGCAGACTTCAGATATGCCAAAATTTGCATTACCTTAGTCATGTGATCTTTACTGGGTGAGTGCTTAAACTGACTCACAACTCTCACATCAAGTTCAGGACGAGTATGAAATAAATAAATTAATCTGCCCATAAGTCTTTGATATTGACCCTTATCAACAGGAACCTGTAAATACCCAAGTGATGCTTTTCTACCACAAGAGTACCCACAGGTTTACAGATGCAGATTGGGTAAATACCCAAATATATTGATTCCCATTGGATGATGAGAATGCTCTCATAAAGTCAATCCCCCAAACATCAAATAGATCAACTACCAATATGCTTTGTTGCGGCAATTCGTTCCGCTTGGACTGATTTCCAACTCGCTGGCATCAATCACAAGCCTGGCACCAGGTGTATGCATCCTTAAAAAGAGATGGTCTGTACGCCCATTTCACAATATCTTCGTTGCTGTCCGTTTCGGCCCAAAATGTCCTCCATAAGCATGTTGATATGCGAATCAAAACACTTTCTTGCTTCTCTTATAGAATGTGTCTTCGAATAGTCTAGCCAATACTTGTATAAGTAAGGCTCATCCTAAAAATAATGTTTCATAGCCGCCAAGAACTTTTTCATCTGCTAGAAAGTCAGATCTAGTTGCAACACCCTCCTTGCTAAATAATTAACAGTGTCGGCAAACCAAGGAGTACTACTTTGAATGGCTCAAAGTTGTTCATCTGGGAAGCTCTCATTCAACAAAAGCAAGTCTTCTTATGCTATGCTGGTAGTAACTAACCTGGACAAGTGATCAGCCACAATGTTCTCGCTGCCCCTTTTGTCTAGAATCTCTAAATCAAATTCTTGCAAAAGCAGAACCTAACGAATGAACCATGGCTTAGCATCCTTCTTAGATAACGAGTACTTTAAGGCAGCATGATCAGTACAGACAGAATTTTAGCCCCAACCAAGTAAGACCGAAATTTTTTCAATGCAAATACAACTGCCAATAATTCCTTCTTCGTGGTTGCATAGTTCAACTATGCATCACTTAATGTTTTAGTGGCATAGTAGATCACTTGCAGAAGCTTGTTTTTCCACTACCCAAGAATTGCCCCAATTGCATAGTTTGAACCATAACAAATCAAGGGGAAAATTCTAGTTAGGTGCGGCAATGATAGGAGTTGAAGTTAGGAGTGTCTTCAACTTGTTGAATGCCTCTAAACAATTTTCAGCAAAATTAAATTGTATCACATGCAACATATTGCATAAAGGTCGACTAATCTTGGAGAAATCCTTGATAAACCGTATGTAAAAACCAGCATGTCCAAGAAACGGTGTATGCTCTTCACAGTGGTAGGGGAGGCAATTTGGCTATAACATCAATATTTGCCTTGTCAACATCAATGCCTTTGCTTAAAACCAAGTGCCCCAAACCAATACCCTGCTTCACGCCTCCCCTAGATCCCGATTATGCCTTGCTTAAGGCTTCTTCCTTGCCTCGGGGTATGAATCGTGATCTAGGCTGGGAATTGCAGTTGCTGGTGGGTTAGAGCCACGTTTTGTCACTCTGCTTTGGTGTTGTGGACTTGCCAAAATCCACGCTCGGATTAAAGCGCAATGCCTCTTTGGTGGTGCTGCTTTGGTTTGGGTGTGCAAATTTGGTGGTGGTTCTGTTTGGGCTTCTTGTAGGTGGTCGCATCTGGAACCTCTACCACTTGTGGTTCATTGTTGCTACTCCGCTGGATTTGTGGATGTGGTAGCCGGACTCGTCTTGTGCCATCGCATCGCTGTGGTCCTTACCTGAGGGTGTTATCCTTCCATTGGATGGTGTCTGTTTTGTGGTTCCCTTCTCGGATTAGTTTATTTTAGCCTAGTTTAGTTTAATTTAGGTTAGTTTAGTTTTGAGCTAGTTTAGTCTAGCTATATTGTCTTGCCTAGTGAGTGTTGTGGCTGCGCCGTAACGATGGCTGTATTTGATTTTCGCCTTAAGTGTTGTATTATGTGGTCCCGTCTACTAATGATGACTTTATATGGCCTCGCTCCTAGGATGACTTTATGTGGTTGTGCTATTTGGCGGCGATGTTTGCAATCTCCTATACAAACCTATTATATATCGTTTCTATGACAAGTTTGTATGGGTGTTGTGGGAAGTTCTCATACATGTGGTAATTGTTTAGGGATTTACTATTATTGTCTCATTTGCGCAAATTAACCTCCAGATCATTTTCTTGGTCACTGGAGGATTGTACCCAATTGGCACCTATGTATTGTTCTCGGTTGATTAATGAAATACCAAATATCATTGCTTGTAAAAAAACACACCATATTCGTCTCCTGAATCAAGAGCTAACGACAATTTCTGAAGACAATGATCAACTGTATCCCTAAAAATCGCAAATGTTCCAAAAGGACAAGTGAAAGTTGTTTTCTCTTGATTCTGTTGGGTGCAATTGGAATTTGATTGTACCCTGCATACTCGTCTGGGAAGCAATAAAAAGCACGCCAACTAGTCTCTCCAACATTTGGTCAATAAAAGTGATCTTTCCTAGTACTTGCTTGTGTTTCCTGTAATCCATGCACATCCTCCATCCAGTAGTCAAATGTGTAAGGACCAGCTAATTATTGTCATTCTTAATTACTGTAATTCATGTACGCTTAAAACCACTTGAGTAGGACTAACCCAGTTATAGTTAGAAATTGTATAAATCATACTTGCATCAAGGAGCTCCATAACTTAAGTTCTTACAACCTCTTTTATAATCGGATTCAGCCGACTTCTCATTTACAAGACCAAACTAATATCACTAGACAAAAGTGCTAATGAAATTTACTTATCTTTCTTTTCCCTTTTAACCTTGTTACAGTAATGTGACTCACACAGAAAGATAACATGGTACGACAATAATATAATTTCATGTAAACTAAAAGGTTACATTATATTATGGACACAACACACTATAGTAGCGTTATACTCGTGCCCTATAAATTGTTATCCTCACAAGAAATACATGATTTGACTTTATTATATATGAAATTTAAACCCGATAAGAACCATCAAGAAGACAATAATAGTAAAACTTTCTCACTATACGGTGCAATCAGTTCCATTAACAAACCAAAAGAAACTAAAAATTCAAGAAATTAATGAAAAATTAAGACTAATCAGCTGTTCCCGCCTCTAATTATTTACTCGTTTTCTGCTGCGACTTCACTTTTTCACAGGGGAAAGAGTAATTACGATTCTCCATCTTCAATCACGAGCATGAAAAGGAAAGCGGAAATTGCAAAGAGCAACGCCAGCTGAAGAAGAATCTCGAGCAAGCCACAGACCTTAATCCTCTTGTTCCTGAGTCGCTCCCTCGCAACCGTCACCTTTAGATCTCCGATCTCCTTCTTCAGCATCTCCTTCTCCTCCTGCTAAATCAAAATTTCAAATTCCAATCAAAATTAAGATTATTCAGTTATTAAATACGTACTGCGATTTCGTCGTCGTCGTCGTCGATTGCGGTGCTGACGCGGCGATTGGGCGATGATTTGAGCGATGAGAGAAGAAAAGCGGCTTTTGCACAGCGAATTGCGACGTCCGATCTCATAGCTCCGCCGCCTCCGTTTTTGATTTGGGTCTCTCCTCCTGCACCCTCCATAGCTATCTCTCTCGATCGAATTCTGCTTCACTGTTTTTGTGTGTTTATTTTGAATTGAAATTTTGAGTTTTAAATGGTTTTGGGATCCCGCTCTTTACGAGTGTCGTAGCCACGTCATCAGAACGAATCAATTCAGGTCAATCTGGACATATTCCGTATAGGATAATACTATAGAAATAAAAAATTTTAAATTAAATAATATGGTAATTGATTATTAGATTATTACTTAAACGTTGATTAACATGTTTATTTCTTATTGATAAATTATTTGATTTACAAATTTGGTTTAAAATTTTGATCTTCGTAATAATGCCCTTCCTATAAACCAAGCAAGAGAGCCACAATTATCTGTATAATCCAAGTTTTTGTAGATAAATTAAAAGAAATTGGGGATTCATTTTATTTAAAAAATGTCTTAATATGCAACAAGATGCTGCCTATGCACATAAGGATTTCTTTATGCAACATTTACAAACAAATTGAAAAAAAAAAAATTTACCCAATTACTAATACTTAAGTTTGACAAAAAAAAAAAAAAAAAATTACTAATACTTAACCTCACAACCAGTCTGCCAGAAATACAGGGACCACCAACAATCTAAAGGCCAAAAACGACGATCTCAAAATACCGGTTCATAACCTATACATTGTATCACATGCGACATAGGTAGAGCGATACCAAAAATTATTAAGTTGTTAAATATTGGATGTATCTGGTAACTACAACAAACAAAATACATACATGAACCTACGTGTAAAATATTTTATGTACATCTAGATATACTAATAAGTTGTGTTTAGAACATTCAACTCAGTGAGTACCTACAATAAATAATACATACTACTACGCAATTGTAAACTCTTTTGTATTGGCCAAAAAATTCATCACGTGCTAATAACTTAACCTAGAAGAATACTATGCCAAATTGTTTTCTAAATATAAATATACATTTGTACGATTCATTTAATTGTCGTCCCATAACCTAGCTAGGAAATTATGGTTGGAAATTCCTTTCAGGTACCTACAACGAAGAGCACGCTAGATTGTTTGTATAATGAAAAACACGAATAAATCAAATTCGACTTAAGAAGTAACTACGACAAAAAACATGTAAGATTATTTGAATAAAAAAAAAACAAATTCGACTCAAAAAGTAAGTACAACGAAGAAAATTTTAGCTTACGAAAGAAAAAAAAATCATTTTTCCTCAAATAAAAAAATTTATTTTCTTTTTCATTTCATAGTTCAACTAATTTCTTTTAAGACAAAAAAGAAAGTTATTCTTGATTTTACAATACTAAAATAGATAATTTTTTCCTCTACTGTCATTTTTCATTCATAATTTGTTGCAGACAAAAAATAGCGGTAAGACACAAAAACAAGCAGTCCCTCTCTCTCTCTCTCTCTACATTATAAATAGAGCAGAGAGGGGGAGAGGCCTCTCCATCTTCCTCCGCGTAAAACCTCTCACAAAAACCCCAAAACCGCATTAATTACTCTCTCACAAAGCTTCAATCTTTGGCTTCAAAGAGATCAAAAATCCCGTTTCCCCCAAAACCCACCTCCCATTCTCCACCGAAATCCCATTTGGTCTTCTGGTAATGCCATTTGGGTTTCAATGGCTCAAGAATCTGGGTCGTCTAAGTCCCCCAAATGGAGACTGAATCTGTATTTTCCTTCGAAGGCTCCTGCGTTCGGCTGCAGATTCCAGCCCCACATTCTGTTGTGCTAGGATAGCACCAAACCTGTTGGAACCAACTCAAGCTAACCCACAGAAAATATATCAAATGAAATGCAAGAACAATATTAGAGAAAATAACACCAAGATTTTAACGAGGTTCCTCCACAGTCAGTGTAACTGGAGTACGTCCTCGGAGCAGTAGGAGCTCACCCAATAATCCACTATCAACCAAATGGGAGTTTACAAAGTGTTGGCAAGCTCACAACCCAAAACCCCAATACACCAATAACTCTCACACACTAAAGAAACAAATAGAGAAAGAAATATAGTGATTAATTTCTTCTCTATACAAAGCTCAAAGCTATTACAACAATAACACTTTGATGGAGTGAGAACTATCCAATGAAAGGAACAACAACTCCTTCTCTGAAAATGGTACTGCAGCAGGACCTTCTTTCTCTCCCTCTCTTCTCTTCGGCTCTCTATTTTTTCTGCTCTCATTAAAACAAAAGGGCAGCATCTGCCCTCTTCATCACATAGCCATTCACGAGGCTTTTCACATGGGTCAAAGAGAAAAACAAAATGACTTTAGACAAGGTTCCATATTTTCCTCCCCAAAACATGGAAGTGGTTGTCTACCTTTTTTTTCTTTATAATTTTTTATAGCCAAGTTGGCCACTTGGCCACATTCTCCAACAATCTCCACCTTGGCCAAGTTCCGAAAAACGCCATGATAAGCCAGCCAACACAATTAACACACAACATCACTCCCAAACACTAGCAAGAGAACAACTCATGCCAAGCCAAATGCTCCAAAACTCCTACTGCTCAACGTCTTCTTTATATAGACATAATGTGAGCCAAGTTCAAACAGTGAACAAACTTGGCTACACCAACAACCTTAGTCAACATATCAGCGGGGTTGTCTTTAGTTGGAATCTTCTGGAGAATGATTTCCCCTTCACCAACAATTTCACGAACAAAGTGATAACGCACATCTATGTGCTTGGTCCTCGCATGATGAACCTGATACTTAGCCAAATAAATGGCACTCTGACTATCACAATGTACCTCCACCTGCTTCTGATCAACCCCCAAATCTCAAATCAGCCCATGTATCCAAATGGCCTCCTTTATAGCTTCAGCAACTGCCATATATTCAGCCTCTGTAGTAGACAAGGCAACAGACGACTGCAAAATGGACCTCCAACAAACTGGTCATTTAGCCATAGTAAACACATAGCCGGTAGTAGACTTCCTTCCATCCAGATCACCTGCATAATCTGAATCAACATAACCAACTGCAAAATGACCAATACCAGAGTCATCTCTCTCAAAGCATAAACCAGCATCTCGAGTACCATGGAGATACCTCAATATCCACTTAGCTGCTTGCCAATGCTCTTTACCTGGATTATGCATATATCGACTCACCATGCCAACTGCATGAGCAATATCCGGTCTAGAGCATACCATTGCATACATCAAACTACCAACCAAATTTGCATATGGTATATTTTTCATTTGCAGCTTCTCTTTATCAGTTTTAGGACACTGTAGAGAACTCAATTTAAAATGAGGAGCCAAAGGGGTACTAACCGGTTTGGTTGAATCAGGAACTCCAAACTTCCGAATCAACTTCTCAAGGTATTGTCTTTGATTCAAACTGACCAAACCATTCTCTCTTTCTCTAGTGATCTCCATGCCAAGGATCTTCTTTGCTTCACCAAGATCCTTCATCTCAAACTCATTCTTCATTTGTTTCTTCAATTTCTCAATCTCTTCAACATTCTTTGAGGCAATCAACATATCATCAACATATATCAATAAATAAATGAAAGACCCATCTTGCAACTTCTTGAAGTATACACAATGATCATATTGACTTCTAGAATAATTTTGGCCTCTCATAAATTTATCAAACCTTAAATACCATTGCCTTGGAGATTGCTTCAAGCCATAAAGCGATTTCTTCAATTTGCAAAACAAATTTTCCTTCCCTTTCACTATATACCCATCCGGTTGACACATATAAATCTCTTCATTCAAATCACCATGTAGGAAAGCCGTCTTCACATCGAGTTGCACAAGCTCAAGATCATATTGTGCAACAAGAGCTAACATAATACGAATTGAGGAGTGCTTCACAACTGGAGAAAATATTTCATTGTAGTCAATGCCCTCCTTTTGTGCATACCCTTTAGCAACTAATCTTGCTTTGAATCTCACATTGCTTTTCTCATCAACATCTTCCTTCTTGGCATACACCCATTTGCAACCAATAGCTTTCTTGCCCTTAGGCAATTTAGCTAACTCCCAAGTCTTGTTCTTCAAGAGAGAATTCATCTCATCACCCATGGCATTGCACCATCTCTCATTCTCCTCACTCCCAATGGCTTCCTCGAAATTAGATGGAATTTCATCAGTGATAATAGGAAGAGCAAAAGAAACATAGTCACTATACTGAGCTGGCTTGGTAATTTGTCTCTTTCCTCTGTTCTTGGCAATAGACTCTTGAGGGGAAACTTCCTCTTCAACTTGAATAGAATCTTCAAGTTCAACTTCTTCAACATCCTCATGGTCTCCAACTTCTTCACTTGTAGTGGCATCGACATCAGCGGAAATAGGATTTGAAGTACCAGAGAAACTTTCTCAAGCTCCACCTGTTGGACATCTTTCACATTCTTCTCAGAGACTTTGTACATACTTTCTTCGTCAAATGTCACATCTCTACTAATTACCAGTTTCTTCATCTCTGGACACCACAACCTGTAACCTTTGACACCACTACTAAAACCAAGAAAGATAGCCTTTTTGGCTCTAGGATCAAGTTTATTTTCAGTTACATGAAAATAAGCAGGTGAACCAAAAATACGAATATGATCATAATCAGAAGAAGGTTTTCCAGTCCATACCTCCATTGGTGTCTTATCCTGAATAACAGCTGAGGGTAACCGGTTGATGATGTGACATGCATAATTAATTGCCTCTGCCCAAAATGACTTGCTTAAACCCGACTGAGACAACATACATCTAACCTTCTCAAGCAAGGTTCGATTCAATCTTTCTGCAACTCCATTTTGTTGTGGAGTTCCCCGGACACTAAAATGTCTCACAATCCCTTCCTCTTTGCAAACTTTAAAGAAAGGGTCGGATGTGTATTCACCACCATTATCCGATCTCAAAATCTTAATCTTTCTCCCAGTCTGGTTCTCAACCATTTTCTTCCAACCCAAGAAAATGCTCAACACCTCACTCTTGTGCTTCATAGTGTAGACCCAAGACCTTCTTGAATAATCATCAACAAAGGTCACGAACCAATGTCTACCACTCAAAGAGGGAGTCTTTGTAGGACCCCAAACATCTGAATGCACATAATCAAGAATGCCCTTCGTCTGATGTACAGCAGTACCAAACTTCACTATAGTTTGCTTCCCCAAGACACAATGCTCGCAGAAATCAAGCTTACAAGTCGTGGCACCTTTTAGAAGACCTTGTTTCACAAGCCCTTGTAGAGCTTTCTCACCGGTATGGCCTAATCTCATATGCCACAGTCTAGTAGTATCTGAATCAGATATGCCCATATTTTCTGAGACTACAGATGCTTCACCTGTCACAGTGCTTCCCTGCAATAAATACAAATGGCCACATCTAGGAGCTTTCATCATAACAAGTGCACCATAAGTAACTTTCAATGTCTGTCCATCTGAATGAAACCTGAAACCCTTAGATTCCAAAGTACCCAAAGAAATAAGATTTTTCTTCAAATTCGGTACATACCGAACACCTGTCAACTCTTTAACCATGCCATCATGCAACTTCAAACGAACTGTACCAATCCCTTTTGTTGTGCAAGGATTGTCATCTCCCATGAACACAACGCCACCATCAAACTCTTTCAAGCTTGAAAACCAATCCTTGTGAGGAGTCATATGATGAGTACAACCCGTATCCAACACCCACTTAGTAGCACAATCAAATGATGAGGAAGTGGTTAAAGCAAAATCAGAAAAATCTGTTTCAACCTCAGCAACATTAGCTTCAGAACTTTATTTTCCTTTGGTCTTCAATTTAGGACAATCTTTCTTCCAATGGCCCTTATTACGACAAAAGGCACATTCATCCCTTTCCAAAGGTTTTCTACCTTTAGAGTTTCCTCTAGGTCGAGACTGTGATTTTTTTCTACTAGAAGATGATCTTCTCTCCGATGATCTACCTCTAACAAATAAAGCTTCAGAGGTACTATCATGATTTTTATCTCTATGCCTCATTTCATAATTCATCAAGGCATTTGACACATCTTCAAATTTCACAGTTTCTTTACCATGCATAATAGTGGTAACAAAATGCTCATAAGAGTCCGGCAAGGAATTCAACAATATTAAGGCCTTATCTTCATCCTTAATATCCTCATCTAAATTTAACAAGTCGGCAATCAACTTATTAAAAGCATCAAGGTGTCTAATCATTTTTGTACCTTCTTTGTATTGGAAGCGGTAGAGCTTTTTCTTCAAGTGTAGCCGGTTCTCTGCACTCTTCGTCATATACTTGTCTTCCAATTTTTGCCACAACACACTTGCTACCGTCTCCCGCATCACAAAATACTTCTGAGTTTTTACAAGGCACAACCGAATTGAAGAGCAAGCCCACAAATTTAATTTCTCCCATTCCGGCTTCGACATAGCTTCCGGCTTCTTTCCCAAAGCAGCAAGTAGATCTTGTTGAGCCAACACATCTTTGACCTCACATTGCCACATCTCGAAGTTGTTTGTGCCATCAAACTTTTCCACTTCGAACTTTGCATTTTGCACCGTAGTTCTTGCAAACCCGGAGCTGCTTCCAAAAGGATTTTCATCTTGCCCGTCTGACATCTTTGGCAACTAGACAGTACCCAAGAGCAACCAGTGCTCTGATACCAATTGTTGTGCTAGGATAGCACCAAACCCGTTGGAACCAACTCAAGCTAACCCACAGAAAATATATCAAATGAAATGCAAGAACAATATTAGAGAAAATAACACCAAGATTTTAACGAGGTTTCTCCACAGTCAATGTAACTGGAGTACGTCCTCGGAGCAGTAGGAGCTCACCCAATAATCCACTATCAACCAAATGGGAGTTTACAAAGTGTTGGCAAGCTCACAACCCAAAACCCCAATACACCAATAACTCTCACACACTAAAGAAACAAATAGAGAAAGAAATATAGTGATTAATTTCTTCTCTATACAAAGCTCAAAGCTATTACAACAATAACACTTTGATGGAGTGAGAACTATCCAATGAAAGGAACAACAACTCCTTCTCTGAAAATGGTACTGCAGCAGTACCTTCTTTCTCTCCCTCTCTTCTCTTCGGCTCTCTATTTTTTCTGCTCTCATCAAAACAAAAGGGCAGCAGCTGCCCTCTTCATCACATAGCCATTCACGAGGCTTTTCACATGGGTCAAAGAGAAAAACAAAATGACTTTAGACAAGGTTCCATATTTTCCTCCCCAAAACATGGAAGTGGTTGTCTACCTTTTTTTTTCTTTATAATTTTTTATAGCCAAAAGTTGGCCACTTGGCCACATTCTCCAACACATTCAAATGCTCATAATCGATGACTCCTTTGAGTTCCCGCCTCACAAGTATTCTTTCACATGGTTAGCCTCACTCACTCTCTTTCTCTCTCTCTCTCTCTCTCTCTCTCTCTCTCTCTCTCTCTCTCTCTCTCTCTCTCTCTCTCTCAGTCTTTCTGGGTTTTAATTTCTTGATGAATTTATGAATATATTCTTGTTTCTTTGTGTGGGTTTTAATCACAAAGCATGGCATGTAAATGGGGATTTAAGTAAACTTTTGGTTGCTAAAGAAACAGAGGAAAAGTTTACTCTTTTGTTTGTTCAATGAAATTTGGGTGAAATTTAGTCCCAATAAGGACAAATAGGAAATTTTGTCCTAATTTGGAGAGTTGGGTTTTGGTCTTTTGAACCAAATCAAGTTTTACATTGTTCAGTTTTGCTCAAATGAATCAACTGTAATCAAAATTCTTTTTTTCTTCTTCTTTTTTATTCTTGTGAAATTGTTAGTTCTATTGAATATCATTGCTCTGTTTTTTGTTGACAAAAATGGATAATTCTATTAAGACATTTTAGCCAAAATGATCTATGAGATTGACATAATTTTTCACTTTTTGGTCCTTGATATTTAAAATCAACAGAAGTGGTCTATGAAATTATTTGACGCCAATCATTTTGATTATTTTGTAAAAAAAAAAAATCGTTAAATTGAAGAAACCATCAGTTCAAATGAGGAGTTGATGTGACAAAAATATCCCTAATTTAACGCAGGTTTTTCATAGAAGATCCAAAATGACCAATATTGAACAATCTCAGGAACCATTTCTATCGATTTTAAATCTTAAGGCCAAAGTGAGTAAATATGCTAATCTTAGATACCACTTTGATAAAATGTCTTCTATTCATTTGTCCGAGTGTATTTTTAATTCCTTCTCCTTTCTTTCCTTCCTCTCACACTTTCTTTTTTTGTTTTATCTCTCTATAAAAAAATCAATATAAGATGATAATATAGCTTAATTGTAACCGTTTAAATATGAGAGGAGAGAGATTATGAGATAAGAGAATTCTACTTCGTTTCGTTAAAGGTAGGCTACGCTTGTAAGAGGCTTCCATGTATAACAATGATATAATTATAAAAAAAGGTTTGATTTTTATTTTATTTTTTCTGATTTTTGTTGTGGAAAACTGGGTATTCAAATTTCAGACACTTAGACCATATTCAAAGTTGATGTCAACTTTTAAATAGAAAATCTAAATTTGAAAGCTTATTTGGCACTTTGATATTTTAAAAATTTTTGTTCTTAACCCGATATGTTAAATTTAAACTATTATCTATTCATCATTTATTTTTATAATTGTAATAAGTATTTATAGAACAAAAATAATAATTATAATGATAATAAACATTTATTAATCACTAAAAGTAGATTTCATGTTGCAACAACATATATTGATGTTATTTTGACTCCTCATTTGGAGATGCTCTTAGGCATACACATATATTGATGTTATTTTCTTCTTTGTGCAACAACAATAATACTAATGAATAACTATAAACTATAGGAGCAATAATACTAATGAATAACTATAAACTATAGGAGTAATTTCGATCAAAATAAATAAAAAGTTATAGCAATAATAAAAGTATTAGCCATATTGTAAAACAACTGTTATTGGCACTCCAAAAAACTTATTGTGCACTTCTTATAAATGTATTTTTCTTCATAAATATAAAAAAATTGGAGTGCACAATGAGAATTTTGGAGTGCAAAAAACAATAAAAATAACAACAATATTGAGAAGAACAATAGCAATACAAAATAACAAGAATAATAACTATATGAAGTAAAAGATGGTCTATTAGGAAGAATTATAGAAAAACGTTTAAGTAACAACAACTTAGTAATAACAATAATTTTGTTATACCCAAAATAAATCCACATGCAAATGAAGTAGAGGACGGTTTATTTTGAAACAATAAATCCACATTCAACGTGAAGTGGTGTACGTTGAAACAATAGTTCCAATACATGGCAGTACTGCTGTTATCATAAGTAGTCTTACTAAAATCTCTCATTATTATATATGTACGTACCGAGAGGATGTTTGCTTGTCTCCCAATCAAGAGAAGGTTCGCTGTTTTGTCCACCATGAAGAGCTGGCCACAATTCAGTGTACAGTTTGTGTAAGTCAAAATCGACTTGGCAAGATGAGTTGCTATTGCTCTATAAGTTGTTATAAGGCTGCCTGGGACAAGCACAAGGTGCACCATCATTTTGCAGCTCCCAATCCTGATCCACAAGCAGTGAAAATTATCAAGAGTTTTGGGCCTTATGGCTCTTATCCTGATTTACCTGACTATCAGGATGATGGTTCGCAGCCTGATGAGATGGTGGAACAAGATGGGAAAACATGGATTGAGGTGGGTTCTTCCGAATATTATGTACCCACAGAGAATGATATTGGATTTTGTCTGAGGCTAAAATTGGAAGTTGTTGATTCTTCAACGCATACACAATTGTTCCCAGCAAGAATCAAAGTGACGGATCCTGTGATTTATCCTCCTCCTCATCCACCGCGTTGTACAATGTGGAACTCTTGCAACGCTGACCTCAAAGAACACTCTTCTAATGATGTAACCTTTAGGGTACTGTCCTATAATATCCTTGCTAATTATCTTGCTACTAGTGGTAGTAACTGGCACTTTTACTGCCCAGATTGGGCTCTTTCATGGGAATATCGTCAGCAAAATTTACTTTATGAGATCATTGAATATGACGCAGATATCCTATGTCTTCAAGAGGTAACTACTAGTTCTTAGACGCATATGTTTTTATGAGATCATTGCCCAAGACTGTTTTAGTTTTTATACTTTTCCTCATCTTTGGGCAGGTACAGAAAGATCATTTTGAGAATTTCCTCAAACCTGAGTTGGCAAAATATGGATACTCGGTTATATACAAGAAGAAAAAGTTCGAGGTAAGGTGATATGGCATGTTTAATAGAATTACATGCACTTCCAGGATGTACTTTTCGGCTTAGAATGGTATCCCTTAGCCTAACGTGTGCACCCTTGCATCCACGGATAGAATCACAGAGAAGAATGAGTTAAGATGGTTCTATGGAACGTAGCTTAGATTTTATTTTATTTTATTTTTTTTTTTCTGAGTTGTTACTTTATTGTCCTTATTATTTATCAGTATAAAAACCAGAAAATTGTTGCCTCGTAGTATACATTGTTGGCCCACCCCTCAACAACTTAAGCTCTTGGAGTTCAATGCTCGTCTAACACGTACGGTATGAGCCTGCAGTTTGAAACCTCCTATTCTTACTGTTAGAGGAATTGCAAGGTGTATGGAACTTCACATTAGTTGGTCGAAAGTCAAAATTTTAGGGCACCTGTGATAACATTTTGAGCTTGACCTGTTTTTGCTTATAGATCGAGTTGGTCTTGACTTTCTGTTAGCCAACATTAGCCTCACTTGTAATAAAGCATTACTATACAGTATGAACTGCTCATCTGGAATAATTAACGTTTCAAATTTATTTAAATTGTTAGATAAATATTGGTTTGCTTGCTTTGCACTGTGATTGTATTCATCAGCATTTGGTAAGTAGGTTGAGTTTCATATAGAATCCTGTATGAACAATGTCACGCTGCAAGGCGGGACTGGTAAAAAATTTGGTAAGAGGCCCTGTAGTCCTCTAATTGCCCTAGTTAATTGTGTCCACGATACTTTGACACATTAGAATAGCCACCTTCCTATTGTCCTTTTCGTCGAAGACTTGGACAAAGCATCCTTGAGATTGTTCAATATAAGTTTTTCGGTAACAGGATGTCAGTTCTATATAACTCGCTGATATACTAAAGCCAATTTTTAAAACATTCAATTCATTCGCCCAGGTAATATTGATTTTTGCATTGCTTTGCGTTACAGATAATGAAAATAATATTTTTGACAATATAAGTTTTGTCCATTTGAATTCTTTAATCATATTAATTAACTCCCTGCCCAAATGTTATGTGCATTCAGCAATTTGTTTCAACAGAATATGATATTTAAAATTTTCTATAAAACTTGGGAGCACATTTTTGCTTTATGTGGTCTAAAGGCAATCACTTAACAGATAATTGATGGCATTATATCATGGTAATATGAGTTTAATGGATGTCTTTCAGACATATTCTTTTAAATCCCATCATACAACTGATGGATGTGCTACATTTTACCGCAGTCAACGATTCAAAGAGATTGCAACATATGAGGTGAGGAAGCTCTTGCTTGTACCTACCACAAAAATGGAGAAAAAGTGAGGAAATCTATGTGAGTAAATGTATGCTGCCAGTATTTAATGGTTCTGATTTTCTTTTGCAGCTTGAGTTTAATAATTCAGCAAAGCCCCTTGTAGATTCATTGGCTGATAAACAGAAAAGTGAAGCTCGCCGTCTGCTGAAGGTTTACATCTCTTAACTCTCATATAGTTATTACTGTGCATTCTGTTCTAGTGGGGCTCTTGTTTCGCTTCCCATCTGTTTGCTATATCAGCTTCTTGTACGCAATTTTTCAGGACAACGTTGCACTTGTTGTTATATTAGAAATGGTGGAAAATGAGGGCTCCTTGGATGGCAATCGACCTAGAATTTGTGTGGTACTATGTCTATTTCAAATTCTACAGCCTTATATCATAAATTCTCAAGTGCTGACTGCTGACACAATTGTCCCTTTCAGCCACAGTCAAATACCCATTTACATGCAAATGTAAAAAATCTAGACATAAAATTACTGCAAGTGCTGTGTGTAAAATGCAACTCTTCCTTCTATTAGTTTTGAGTTTAAAGAATAGAATTGACTTAATTCGCTTCTTTTCTAATACAAGGTTGTAACCCTCATCCATGCACTTGAGAAAATTGTCAAGTTGAAGATTCCCCTGCTGATTTGTGCAGATTTGAACTCTGTGCCTCAGAGGTTAGCCTTTTGCTGTTACTGACTGGCTTCTGAGACTATAGTGAAAGAATTGATAGATTCCCTGATTTTCCATTTACGATTTTGTACTCCTTTATTGATCCATGTTTCTCTTGAACTAATATATCCAACTAGAAATATTAATATTACCGTATTGATTTTTGGTATTATTCCTAGCAAACCAACCCTCCTCTATCCAATATATTTTTCTTCTTAACTTCGGCGAATATCGATTTCTATTTGGGATGAGAAATGAAGGTTAGACTGATATTCGCATCCAACATTGTAGTGATCCTTATACGTTCATAAGCAAGGGCAGAGTTGAGATTCTTCCAAGCAAAGAAACTGATCAATCGGGCATATTGCAGACACTCAAGCTTTCTCATTCATTGAATCTGGTAAGGCCAATGTATCCCTATTGACTGATTCTCTACTCCTTTTTTTAATTCTTAGCTCCTATTGAACATTTTGCATTGCTACTGAGTTGGTTACTTCTTGCAAGAATTTGGAATCTGGAGAGCTTATGGTTTTTGTGGTCATTTTCAAGTGCTGAAAAGTTTTTTTTTTCCTTTCCAGTTAAGTGCATATGCAACTTTTTTTCAGTCCGATGGGGTCAAGGATCACCAACGTGAGAAGATGAATCATGGAACCAAGGAGCCTTTGTTCACCAACTTTACACCATCCTTCTTTGGAACTATAGATTATATATTCTACACATGTACCATTATTCATGACTTTTATAGTGTATCAGATTTTTCTGATAAAGTTCGGCCTAATATATGTTTTCTTTGAGCGAAACGTGTATTATGAGTCCTTGAAAGTTCAATATGGATCTGTATTAACAACTTATAATTTTGAAAGACCACATAGGGAGAGTTGAGAGCTAGGTATTTTCTCCTTTTTCCCCTAAGAGAGATCCAGGTGTCTTAAAGGAGGCTTAAATTATTTTCCAAAAGTGTACTTCGATGTATATATTGATTAAGTTCTACCAAAATACTGGTATGATAATCAAACAATCGTATCAGGAAAGTCGCATTACTTACAATAGTATGTGAGATTAGGGATGGGCAAAATACCCATGGGTTTGGGTAACCGCGGTTATCCGTGTTAGAATTCATTTGTCCCACATCGGCCAGAAGGCTTGAGAACAAGCCATTTATATAGAATTACCCCACTCTAACTAACATCGAGGCCTTTTGTATTAAAACCCCATACTTGACGGATTGAGCAGGTGGCCAAGTGGGGACAATATCGGTGTTGTTGGAGTGGGCCCATGGCCCGTCTATCTGAAATTTAAAATGGTATCAGAGCCAGGGGACGGGTCCATACATCCACGTGAACTGGTGGGTCCCCTTTGGCCCCGCGCAAATGGGTGAGCCCCGACTTGGCTCCACGTAGGCCAAGAGATGCCATGTGCATTGGCCCAGCGCGAACGGGTGAGCCCCAGCTTGGCTCCACGTGGTTGCCGATGTGTGGAACTCCACGTGTGATCCATAAAATGGGGTCTCACGTGCGGGGGAGTGTTAGAATTCATTTGTCCCACATCGGCCAGAAGGCTTGAGAACAAGCCATTTATATAGAATTACCCCACTCTAACTAACATTGAGGCCTTTTGTATTAAAACCCCACACCTGACGGATTGAGCAGGTGGCCAAATGGGGACAATATCGGTGTTGTTGGAGTGGGCCCATGGCCCGTCTATCTGAAATTTAAAATATTAAGCGACATATCTTGGAGTATCACTGAAGATTGCTTTCTTTCCTTAATTGTAGGAATAGATTATTCCGTGTAATTCATGTAAAGTTGACTTCCTAGAATAGCCTCTTGCATATTGTATAAATCTTGTACTCTTTGTAAAGAAGCAGTGAATGAAATTAGATTACCTTCAATACTTCTCTTACACGGCCTAAACCCTAGCAGGACACAACCCTAGCAGTAGCAGGCCCATATTTTAACATGGTATCAGAGCACCGTTTCTGGTGACTCTGAATACCCCCCCAACGCTTCCGCACCACAACAAAACAGTATCATCATGAGTGAATCAGGAGCCAGCACAAAATCATCAGATATGGCTGCTGACCTCTCGAACCCGTTCTTATTACACCCTTCTGATCAACCTGGGAACATCTTGGTCTCCAAAACCCTTCAAGGAGACAACTACAGCACATGGAGCCGTGCTATGCGCATCAGTCTAAGTGCTAAGAACAAACTAGGCTTGGTCGATGGAACCATTGACCCCCCCCCCCGCGCTGAAACAGATAAACAATTTGCATTGTGGCAACGATGCAATGACATGGTCCTTGCATGGATCCTGAATTCTGTGCATGAGGACATCGCAAGCAGCGTCTCCTACTACACATCAGCAGCAGATGTGTGGGCCGACTTGCGTGATCGCTTCTCCCAAGGGAACGATTCACGTGTTTATCAAATTAAGAGAGAAATTGTTGAGCACAGATAGGAGCAACAATCAATCTCAGTCTACTACACGAAACTGAAGGCCTTGTGGGATGAACTGACGTCCTATCATGAGCCCCCGACGTGCACTTGTGGGGGTTTGAAGAAGATTAATGAACGTGATGAAAAGGAAAGAGTGATGCAGTTCCTCATGGGGTTAAATGAATCATATGCCGCAGTACGTGGGCAGATCTTGTTGATGCAGCCACTCCCAGACACTCGGAAAGCATATTCTCTTGTCTTACAACAAGAGAAGCAAGTGGAGGTATCTCTCACTCGTCATAACAACAATTTGCATGCTATGAATGTGACAAGCAACAGGGAACCTGCTGCACAGCGAGGTAATTCTTCCCTTAAATGCTCATATTGTGATAAAAAATATCATACCGTAGATCGATGCTTCTACCTCTACGGCTTTCCACCGGGGCATAAATACCATGGCAAAAAGGTGACTCCTCCCAACAGGAAGAAACCTGTGGCCAACCAAGTGAAGACTGGCGATGAAATTGCCAAGGTCACTGATCAGCATCACCATGGAACCACCAGTGACGGGCCCAAGTTCACTACTGAAGAATACAATCAAATCATGGCCATGCTCAAGAAAACCAACCTTGATGGTAATCCACAACATTTTGCAAATGCCACAGGTACACTTACACCCTCGTCTAATACATCAGGAGCCTTATCATAGAAAACCCTATATTGGATCATTGATAGTGGGGCAACAGATCATATATCTCCTTCACCTCACTTGCTTGACAAGAAATTCATGTCTGATTCTGTACAATTGCCTAATGGGGGAAAAGCCAGTATAGAGTCTGTTGGTTCTGTCCAAGCCACTTCTCTTATTAAACTTGATGATGTGTTACATGTTCCCAACTTTCGAGTCTATTTATTATCCGTTAGCAAACTCACCGAGTCTCTACAATGCATAGTGATTTTCTTTCCCACCTTTTGTGTGATACAGGACATGGATACGAGGAGGACGATTGGCCTGGGCAAGCGATATAATGGGCTCTATTACCTGTCGCCGGAACAAAATCCTCACATTGCTCACAATGTCAACCGTCATTCAAACCTTTGGCACCGACGCTTAGGACATCCCTCCACCGGTCCCCTACAACTTTTGACCAAGCAAGTTCCAACTATCATTTTTTATTCTAGTCATTCGTGTGATATTTGCCCTCTTGCTAAACAAACTCGTCTATCTTTTCCATCAAGTTTCATTTCATCTCAAGCACCTTTTGATTTAATACATTGTGACATTTGGGGACCCCATCGAGTCAATTCCCATTCGGGGGCTCGATATTTTTTTACCATTGTTGATGATTATTCACGTTTTACTTGGATTCATCTTATGCGTTTAAAGTCTGAAACACAAAGCTTGTTATGTTCCTTTATTGCTTGGGTTCAAACACAATTTAACTGTATGATCAAGACAATTAGGGCAGATAATGGAGCTGAATTCCTTTCTTTACGTTCCTTTTTTACTAGCAAGGGTATTGTCTTTCACACTTCTTGTCCTTCTACTCCCTAACAAAATGGGGTAGTTGAACGAAAACACCGCCATCTTTTAAATGTTGGGAGAGCACTACGATTTCAAGCCAACTTACCTTTAACATTTTGGGGGGAAAGTATTCAAACAGCATGTTATTTAATCAATCGATTGCCCACACCACTCCTTCACCACAAAACTCCTTTCGAGCTTTTACATCGTACTCTTCCTGATTTCACCCACTTGCGTGTGTTTGGTTGCTTATGCTATGCCACGAATCTCACTCCCACACACAAATTTGATCAACGTGCTCGCAAATGTATTTTTGTTGGATATCCTTTTGGTCAAAAAGGGTACCGTGTGTATGACCTAACTACCTACAAATTTTCTACTTCCCGTGATGTGGTTTTTCACGAGGACACCTTCCCTTTTATTTCCCAACCACCAGATCATCAACCTGATAGTGTTGTTCTACCTTTACCCATTGATCCTACCCTTACACCATCTTTATCACCTCATTCCCCAGACATTCAACCTGCCACAAACCCCAACCCCCAACCACCCCTTGACACTATGCCTTCCCCAGACACCCTCGACAACGTCACCTCCCACGACACCGTCACCCCCCACGACACCCTTCCCACTGCGACCCCTCCTTCGCCCCTTCCTCTTGCCACTCGCCACTCCACCCGTTCCCCTAAACCCTCTGTGCGACTTCAGGGCTACCATTTATATCATGTCCACTCGCTTGCTCCCAGTGCCACCTCTTCTTCCATGTCAGGTACACGCTACCCTTTATCACACTATGTTTCATATGCTCATCTTTCTTCTTCCCATCGCTCTTTTACCTGTGCCATTTCTACCATTGTCGAACCTACTACTTTTGAGCAGGCTAACAGTGATCCTAAATGGCTAGATGCCTTGCAATCCGAACTCTTGGCTTTGGAACAAAATCATACTTGGACTCTCACTCGACTTCCCCCTGGTCATCGAGCTATTGGTTGCAAGTGGGTCTATAAGATCAAGTACCATTCCGATGGGTCTGTTGAGCGTTATAAAGCTCGCCTTGTTGCCAAGGGCTTTACACAACGTGAAGGTATCGATTACAAAGAGACCTTCGCCCCTGTCGCCAAACTCATCACGGTTCGTTGCCTTTTAGCCGTGGCTTCTGTTCGTCATTGGTCTCTCCACCAAATGGATGTTCAAAATGCCTTCCTCCATGGGGACCTTGGGGAAGAAGTTTATATGCAGCTGCCTCCCGGTCTTCGTCGGCAGGGGGAGCATAATGTGTGCCGACTTAACAAGTCGCTATACTGGCTCAAACAAGCCTCTCGTAGCTGGTTTCACAAGTTTTCCACAGCTATACACCAAGCTGGCTATCAACAATCCAAGGCTGATTATTCCTTGTTTACCAAGGTACGTGATCACTCATTCACAACCGTACTAATCTACGTCGATGACATGATTATCACAGGAAACGATGAAGAAGCCATTCGTGATCTTAAACAATTTCTTCATACTCATTTTCGCATCAAGGACCTTGGACCATTAAAGTATTTTCTCGGTGTAGAAGTGGCTCGGTCTTCTCAAGGTATTTCTATCTCTCAACGGAAATACACACTTGATATCCTTGATGAAGCAGGTTTACTTGGTGCCAAACCTGCAAACTTTCCCATGGAAGAAAACTTGAAATTATCCCCAACGGAGGGGCAAATTCTTCACGACGCCTCGAAGTATAGGAGGCTTGTTGGTAAACTCATTTACCTCACGATCACCAAGCCAGAAATTTCATATGCAGTTCATGTACTCAGCCAATACATGCAACAACCAAGAAAACCACATTTAGATGCAGTTCATCGTCTCTTACGATACTTGAAAGGGGCACCTGGACAAGGACTTCTATTTCCTTCAAATGGGGACTTAAACTTGGCTGGTTATTGTGATGCTGATTGGGCTCGATGTTCAATTACAAAAAGATCCGTTACGGGTTATTGCATATTCCTTGGAGGTGCATTGGTGTCTTGGAAGACTAAGAAACAAACTACCGTTTCTAGGTCTTCAGCAGAAGCAGAATATCGTGCCATGGCTTCTGCAACATGTGAGCTTACATGGATGAAATATTTGTTGGCTGACTTGCAAGTTGATCATCGCATGCCAGCAAAACTATATTGTGACAATCAAGCTGCTCTACATATAGCAGCCAATCCCGTGTTCCACGAGCGTACTAAACATATAGAGATTGATTGCCATGTTGTTCGTGAGCGTATTCGGTTAGGAGTTATCACGACAACTTATGTCCGAATTGGAGCACAATTAGCGGATATATTCACCAAGCCGCTTGGACAAGGGGTGTTTCGATCATTACTTGGCAAGATGGGTGTGATTGACATTCACACTCCACCTTGAGGGGGAGTATTAAGCGACATATCTTGGAGTATCACTGAAGATTGCTTTCTTTCCTTAATTGTAGGAATAGATGATTCCGTGTAATTCATGTAAAGTTGACTTCCTAGAATAGCCTCTTGCATATTGTATAAATCTTGTACTCTTTGTAAAGAAGCAGTGAATGAAATTAGATTACCTTCAATACTTCTCTTACACGGCCTAAACCCTAGCAGGACACAACCCTAGCAGTAGCAGGCCCATATTTTAACAATCCGCTCATTTAAAGTTAATGGTTACGGTTATGGGTAACCGTTTAGACAAATAAACGGTTATTGGTATAACCGTTTATCTATGAAATTTAAATGGGCGGTTATGGGTATTATCTGCGGTTATAACGGGTATCCATTGGTTATGGGTATTACTTGCAGTTATAACGGGTATTCATTTACCCATTTAATTTAATATGTAAAATTTAAAAAAATAATAAAAACTCTCAGAGAACTCTCTCTCCGTCACTTATGTCCATTTACCTGTTTAATTTTACATATAACGGATATCCATTTACCCATTTAATTTAACCATAACCATTTACCCATTTAATTTTAACCATAACCATTTAATTTTGGGTGTTCATTGTTTAATTTATTCATTTACCCATTTAATTTAATAACAAATTGTTCATCGGATTTTGGTGTTCTTCCCCGAGGTGGAAAATCGAAGTTAAGATATGCCCTCTTATTTCACATGGCAATCAGAAACAAGTTGCAAACTTTAATTGGATTTCCCAATAACTAAGTTGTCGTCAATAAGTAATATGATATCTTATTTGTAAATGGATACCCGTTATAACCGCGGCTATATGTAAAATTAAACGGGTAAATGATTATGGTTAAATTAAATGATAAATGGATACTCGTTATATGTAAAATTAAACGGGTATCCATTTATCCATTTAATTTAACCATAACCATTTATCCATTTAAATTAAAAAAAAAAAAACTAAAAACCCATAGGCCCTTATGTCCATTTACCCATTTACCCATTTAATTTAATATATGTAAAATTAAACGGGTAAATGGTTATAATTATGGTTAAATGGGTAAATGATTATGGTTAAATGGGTAAATGGTTATGGTTAAATGAGTACACGGTTATGAGTATGGATAACCGTTTATAAACGGTTATGGTTATGGGTATGGATAACCGTTTATAAACGGTTATGGTTATGGGTATAACCATTTATGCAATTACCCAACGGGTAAACGGTTATGCGGGTATGAATATAAACGGTTATGGGTAAATAACCGCAGTTACCCGCCTGCCATAACCGTTGCCCATCCTATAGTGGACTACATTACGAGAGTAATTGCATTTTTCGTGATGTATAAGCAATAAGCATATGGATTTTCTGTTTAGGCTTTCTGAGCTTGTTCCAATTCTGAATTTTGTTTGCTCATCATTTTCGTTGACTGTATGTCTAATGCTTTTCTGCAGCTGCTAGCTTCTGGCTTGACAGTGTATTGGAGCTTCATGACATAGAAGGTTGCCTTCCATCAGATAAATGGTCATCAGACCATATTGCCCTCAAGGCGAGTTTTTCTCTTGGGCCGAGCGCTGACAATTGGAGCTCAGAACGTCTTCCGGAGAGCCTAGGGCAGCACCCACATTTGCACAACAATAAGGTTTTAAAGGAAAGCTGAAGATGCTTGAGAAGCTGAAGATGATTGAGAGATTAGTCCGGTGATCACTACAGAATGGATTCAAATTCTATTCAAAACTATTGCAGAAAACCAGCAGCTCGCAAAGTTACTTACATAGGATACATGAAAATACACAAAAGATTTAAGATTAGCATCGATCTCTACAGTTTGGTCGACTCACGTCAAGTTTACATACACAGAAGAAGACAGAAGGGAAGATTATCATTCAAACTTTCTTCCTTATACACAGTGACAATTCATCTCTTTTTTCTTTTCTACCATGGTAATTTTTCAGGGACCTCATCTCTTTGTAAAATTATCTTGAATGCTGCTCTATAGGTGAAAATTTTCCATTTCTGTTATTATTTACTTTTCGCTGTTCAGAGCGCGATGTATTACCTGATGAGGTGTAATGTTCTTTCTTTTAATGGATTTAAATGGATTTTTGGACATGGACATGTAATGTTTTGGCGGTGAATGATTAACCACTCGTTCCAACATGATTTCATCTGATCAATGGTCGTAATTTACTTTTTATGATCTTTACCATGAAAAAATTCTTCTAACTGCATGAGCAGCATTTTCTCTTGGTATTTTTTTTTTTTTTTTTTGCCAGAAGTTCATTTCTTTTGTTAGTTGTTTTTTACTTCGATCTCACTTTAAACCTCAATTACTTATAAAACATTTGGGTAAGCTTTGTATAACTCATCCAGAAGTAAAACGGTAACTTGTTAACGCTCAGGGAAACATGTGTTGAGATTTTATCAGAAATAAAAAAGCAAAAAGAATAAGAGATGGGTGTACTTATATGCTGACACCAATTTCATCCTAACCACAATAATCATACAAAAACTTACGAATCCATAAAATAATAATAAATGCGATGGCGATACCTACGATAGCAAGGTGTGGACCTTCACTATAAACCGTCTTTAATTTGCAACAGTTGAGAGTTCGATATCTCGCAAAATAATTAATGAGCAAAGAAAAAAAAATCTTGAGACAGATTAAGAAAAGTAGAGCATTTTAATCAGTGGCATACCATGAATACCGACACCAATAGTTTTAAACAAATTTAGTAGTAGGATAATTAAGCTTCATTTATATTGACCATAGATAAAAAGGTGTCTCTCTCTCAGCAGTCATTTTTCTGATAGAGGAGGATGAAGATATAATACACTGAGCAATTTAAAGCCTCCAAGGATGACTAGCTCTATAGCACAGAAATCATATATAATTAACTATTACATAATTAGCTGAAGCTTAATTACTAGCTAATTAATTAACACATGAAGCTACTGGTACACCTTGGCTTGAAATTGAAGAGGGTTGGGGGGCTCTGATCAGGTGCGTGCATGTACTTGCAATTAGGGCATGTAGGAGAAGACCTGCACAGCATCACCAGCATGTGGCACTTGAGGCACACAGTTGCCACCATCTCCTGCTGGTGGTGGTGGTGATCAAATGGAAACCCTAAATTATTGGGGTTCTTTTTTGTTGGTCTATGGGACTCCATGAACAAATCACTCAAGCTGTGTGTTGAAATGTCTGAATTAGCCCTAGACTGATCACATGATCTTAGGTTGAGCTCCAGGTCTAGGCTCATGTGATGATGATGATGATCAGCAGCTGGACTGGTTGGTGGCTCAGGGCTCCTCCTTGGGTCCCTTGAAGTCTTCATCTGAGTCCTTGTGTTGTAAAAATGTATCTGTCCCGACTGCATAAGAATGAAGGCACACAATCAATAGAAAAAATTTGTCTTGATTTCGGAAAAATATTAAAAAGTGAGAACTGAAATGGTAATCAAACGGTGTGATATCTTTGTTAATTATGTTTGTATAATTGAAACACGCATATGTGTAATATACCTGAATATCGAGGCATCTTTGCCACTCCAAAGGCAATGGAGTCTCTAGGTGAAGCTCTATATCAAACAAGGAATTTGGTTTGCTTTGTGGTACTTTTGAACGTTTTTCGGAAAGTTGCTCAATATTAACGTATGGCAAGTCATCCCATTTTCTTTTCTTGGATGAATTCTCAGAGTCTGGGATTGTCTTCTTTTGGTTTGGAGAAAGAGGATGAGCTTGAAAAGAAAGCATAGCTATTAGCTTAGCTAGCTGCTTCAATCACTCAGAGATAAGTAGTAATATTACTCTCTCTCTCCCTCTCTCTCTCTCTCTCTCTCTCCCCCTCTCTCTGTGATCTCCCTCTCTGATCTCTCTCTCTCTCATACAAACAAACACACAGAGCTGAGAGCTGGGAGAGTTGAGAGGTTGAGAGAGTTGGAATGGATTTATATGTCAAATGGTTGGGAAAAAGTTTTGGTAGTTATATAGGCTGGTGGAGTGTGGCCACAACTGCACGGGAGAATCTAATAGGGGCAAAATTTGAAGGTACAACTAAAAGAAACCTGGCCTACCCATGCATGACGTGCTTTCCAAGTTGGCGATCTCTTTAACTCTGATTATTATAGCAGAGAGAGCTCCAAGCCAGCTCTCTATTAAAGCCTAAGATGTGAAGTTCTAACCAACTCGACTCCTTGTTCTAATACCCCCCCAACCCCCCGATCCTGATGCCACCCAACATACCCAACTATATAAATCTTAGCAATGAATTTGCTCCCCATGGACTGTACTATACGAGAAAAAAAAAAAAAATAATATATATATATATATATATATATATATATATATATATATATAACACTTGGCCACATGGCAATACAACGTGGCACAACGATTCAGTTAAAACATAACATGTGTGAATGATTTTTTTATTTATAAAACACATTAATTTTAAGTCTTATCTAATTGACACTCAGCAGTGTCATGTGACAGAAACAACATCACATAAGTTTTTAATGTCACGGAAATTAATTAAGTGAGCTGAGCTAGTCAAGCTAGAAGGTAATAGTTGAAAGCCAAACGTACACCAAATTCCAAGTTTTAACTTGATTTTTTTCATCAAAGGAAAGAATTTTATGAGATTCAAGTTGAAATGTTTACATCAGAAGCCAAAGTGTTAAACAACCACTCTGGTTCAAACTAGTCCCATCCATAAGAGCCTCCATCCCGTAAGGTGAAAGTGGCCACTAGATGTTCTGCTATATTACAAATTTGAGGAGCAAAAATGACATCCACTGACCTCAGTCGTTGCTTCACATATTGAATATCAAGGAGTGCTTCAATTGCAACATTTGATTGAGCCTTGCCGTTAACCATATGCACAAGTCCTTTAGAATCTGCTTCAATCTGAAATGCATCAAACCCCATATCAATACAAGCTAACAAAGCCGACTGCACCGATTCTGCCTCTGCCATTAGAATAGATTCTCAGGGAAAATTCCCCACTACCCCCACCCTCTGAAAAATACCTGCGAAATTTCGCGCCACCCATCCATACCCTCCTTGTTCGGATACCTTTAGCCACGCACCATTACAATTCACTTTCATAGTCCCGAATGGAGGTCTCACCCAACCTGAAGGATCCCCATTACTAACCTTTTGTTGCCAATGCACCTGAAGGATCCTCATTTTTTTGTTTGCCGATGCACCTCATTCAACATTATCACATGGCAGGACCAACCTAACATAACTCATTCCCTAAAATGAAGTGAGTTATCCACATGTGTCACTAAACACTAACACGCAACAGAAACAATTTCATTGAGTTTTCCATGTCTTGGAAATGAGTAAGGCGCTCAATAAGCATTCTAAAACAGTCATCATGCACTCATTCAAGTCCTCCAATTCCATTTTCTCCTTTAGTTTCTACAAGAAGGTAATTCATGATGCCTATTTTAAAATGCTAACAACAATTTAATCCTAATTAAAAGTGAGGTAATCTAGCCAAAGCTAGAAGCCAATAGATGAAACAAATGCACACCAAATACCAAGTTGTGATACTTATGAGAGGCGGTGTGATGGGAAAGAGGAGGGAAGAACTGTGTGTTTGGAGTGGTCATTAAATGAAGAGAGTCTGTGTACAGTTGAAGGAAGGTCTTGAATGTCTATGGGTCTTTAATATACACAATAACTCCAACTTCCCGCGATTGGGTTACTCAAACAACAAAAATTTTTAAAGCTCTCAACACCCAAACTCTTCTCTCTCTCTCTCTCGCTCGATCACCTCCTTACCTTGCCGTAAGCCATGAAACTAGCTAATCACTGCAACTAATTAACTTTGCCCTTAAAGCTCTCAATACCATCAGCCTTTTTTTAGGAAAGTTAGTAATATATTGATCAGCCACTTAGTATTATGGTTTAGTGGTATTCGTTTTCGTTTGGAAATGAGAGATCTTAGATACAATTCTCATTGAAAATGAATTCGAACCACATTATTGCAGCCCATTGTGAAGCTAAGCTCACCCTCATCCTCTTTAGTGTAGATAATATTTTCTGTTAAAAAAATAGTAATATATTGATGGTAAAGAGATTACTAACTGAAAAGGAGAAAACATGATTTATGTAAGAATTAGGTGAGACAGACTACACATTAAGATTTGAATTGCAGCTCGTGATAACCGTTCCCATCCCTACTCGTTCACCTACGAACTTGAACCTTCACCATCGGCTTTTAAATCAACCAAGCCCTATATTTTATTTCTTCATTTTTTATTTACTTTTTATTTTATTTTTATAAAGCATACCCTGCATTCATGACCCAAAAGTATCCATTTGCTCCTAAGATCAGAATCCCTTTATTCTTGGACCAACAAGTAATCAAATGCTTTTACTTTAATTATTGTTTAACCATACATATATAAAATTTGTTGCATGTTACATTAAATATTTTTATTATAAGCCTTATGTTACATTAAACATTTAAGCACGTAGCTTATGTATCCTGGGTGGAATACCACTTTAAAAGACATAAAAATCAGCGTACTTTAAAAAAACAATTATCTAATACTTTAAAATCGGTGTACTTCTCTAATTGATTAGGCAGTTGAATCCCACTTTAAAAGAACAAGTACCTATTACTTTATATGGCACGAGTTCATCGCTACGGTGATGTCATGTGCAAATGAAATAAAATATGTATAATTTTTTATCTACATGTTTTTATTTCATTAACACAATACGTCACGTATCGATGTACCCGTGTCATGTAAGTTGTTTTTGTCCTTCATATTAACAAAACATAAAAAAAGGATACGTTAATTTACACTAGTACAAAAAAGGCTTTAGGCGACGTAGGACCTTCGTCGCGCAAAGTCAAAAAAACGTCGTGCAAAATGTAGGACAACGAACCCGCGTCGCGCACTGACCGTCGCGTCAAGGCAGTGAAGGAAGGGTTTGCGCGACGCAGAAGTGACCTACGTCGCGCAAAACCACTTCGCGCGACGTAGGTCTTCGTCGCGCAAAACCACTTCTCGAGATTCGGCAAGCGGTACTGTTCTTTTACTCATGTCGGCAACCGTTGGATGATTGCCCGTGATTTCCTCAAAGCTGACGAGGCTGAGAAAGACAGATGGTTGGAATCGGCGCTTCGACAAATTGCATGTGACAAGTGCTGACGAGGCTGAGAGAGACAGGTGCTTCGACAAATTGCATGTGACAAGTGCTGACGATGCTTCGACAAATGTTCCGTGATTTTCGCAAAGCTGAGTTTGCGTGTGACAGTTGCTGACGAGGCTGAAAAAGCTGACACTCTTCGATATCTGGAATCGGTGGTTTGTGAGCAAGCCCAACTTTTGAGAAAGCTGGCTCCTCTTCGATTTTTGAATTGGCCTCTTTGAATTCTGAGCTCGCCTCTTCAATCCCGTCGGGGATCTAGCTCTCGAGATTCGGCAAGCGGTACTGTTCTTTTACTCCTGTCGGCAACCGTTGGATGCATGTGACAAGTGCTGACGATGCTTCGATAAATTTTCTGTGATTTTCGCAAAGCTGAGTTTGCGTGTGACAGTTGCTGACGAGGCTGAGAAAGCTGACACTCTTCGATATCTGGAATCGGTGGTTTGTGAGCAAGCCCAACTTTTAAGAAAGCTGGCTCCGCTTCGATTTTTGAATTGGCCTCTTTGAATTCTGAGCTCGCCTCTTCAATCTCTGAAATCTCATCACATGTTGATTTTTATAGAGGTACGCAGGATGTTCAAAGCACACTTGAATTTCAACCTGTAAAAACTTCATTCTTGCACTTCTACGATCTTGACCTATCCGACCTCTTCTTTCTTTAACACCTCTGAAAATGTCTGGCCCTTCTGACCGTCGGTTTGACTTGAACCTTGGTGAAGAGGCAGTCCCGCCTTCTCCAGACAACATATGGCGCCCATCCTTCATATCCCCTACTGGCCCTCTTACCGTTGGGGATTCGGTGATGAAGAATGACCTGACTGCTGCGGTGGTGGCCCGGAACCTTGTCACTTCTAAAGATAAGAGACTGCTTTCCAGACGGTCTGATGAGTTGGCTGTTAAGGAGTCTCTGGCTCTTAGTGTGCAGTGTGCGGGTTCTGTGTCCAACATGGCCCAACGCCTATTTGCTCGAACCCGTCAAGTTGAATCGTTGGCGGCTGAAGTGATGAGTCTGAAACAGGAGATTAGAGGGCTCAAGCATGAGAATAAACAGTTGCACAAGCTCGCACACAACTATGCCACAAATATGAAGAGAAAAATTGATCAGATGCAGGAATCTGATGGTCAGATTTTACTTGATCATCGGAGGTTTGTGGGTTTGTTCCAACAGCATTTGCCTTCGTCTTCTGGAGCTGCACAGCGTACTGAAGCTCCAAATGATCAACCTCCGCTGCCTCCTTCTTCTGGGGCTCCGCCGACTGCTGAGGTTCCGCCGACTATTGAGACTTCTCCTAAGCAGCCTTTGTGAATGCTCCCTCTTGTAATTTCCTGCTTAATGTTCCTTTTCTTTTCATGAAAAATGAATGTAATTTCCTGCTTAATGTTCCTGATTTGGAGGGTTAATAAACTATGCAAAATATATACTCGGCTAAAATACTACTCTAGTAAAAGTTAAGATGGACCATCCACAAATAAAGAAACTCATATTGTAAAGAAGCGATGAGTGAGAGGGAAGGCATTTTAAAAAAAAAATACTGAAAATGTAATTTAAATGATCCATTGAAATCGATGGGATACGCATTGTACGAAACTAATTTCAATGATCCAACCGTCAAACTTGTTTGTATATGTGTTGAGATCGCATACGCCAAAAATGGGATACGCATTGTACGAAACTAGTTTCAACGATCCAACCGTCAAACTTGTTTGTATATGTGTTGAGATCGCATACGCCAAAAATCGCAAAAAACAAACCTTCAAAGATCAAGTAACGGGACAAAAAATTTCGACGGTTAT